CTGTATTTGCTTCTTAAAAATCATTTTTAATTTAAATAAATATACCAAGTATTTGATACGTGGATTGAGTATTTCGTTGAATAAAATTTCAGTTTCCTCATTGTAATTCTAAAGTTGCATAATAAAGTTCCCGATGCAACGTTCGTCCATAGTGATAAAGCATGTTATAATGATGCCCGTCAAACTTAATTATGCTGCACTAAAAACGGAAAAGCTTACTTTAGTTTTGTACGCCAAAGGAATAACGGCTCATCATAAGTCTTCATCCACGTTACGCGCTCACGCGTCTGAGCACGCAGCAGCATAGCAAGAAAGGATACTTGGAAAGGCAATATTACCTACCTATCAAGATACGCGACCACTTCCGACTCGGTATTGGTCTGTGTATTGCTTCATCTGCGATTTGGCTTGATCTGATTGACCGGTCAATGCGTGGAGCCGAGGGTTGTTCGAGAGAAATTTCTTGCTGAAGAGATGAGGAGCACTCGCACGGAGCTAACCGAACTATCGAATGTGCTCTCTGAGTCGCTCTTCACTATCAACGGGTCTTCCTTTAATTTGATCATCAAAGCCTGGCATCATTGACTTCTCTTGCCCAAGTACCTTGTCGGAAACAATTCATCGGAACAATTAAGTTAACGGTTGTACTTCGAGGTTCCAGGGGAACGTCGAAGAAGAAACCCCAAACGAGGAGCCATCGATCATCATTTCGTAATCCTGCATTAAGTAACACGTGTACGGGCTATGCTGCATATTTGATTGTTGAGTGGAATTTGATAATTGTATATCTCGTTCGAATATCGTTCTCTTGTATGATAGTATAATAAGTTAATTGTAAACGAAGTAAATGATTTTGATGACAGTCGCGAAATTATGTATTTATTAAATTATCTAAATTTTCTCGAACTAAAGTTATTTTTAATACCAAATGTTTGGTATACATTGATTTTCTTCCATACCGAGAGATGTTCAAGTCAAACCTATTAAAAAGAACCGATAAACTATTGTTACAAACGGCTGGTAAGTGTCGGTAAACTGGTGCAGCCGATCACTGCATTAACGTGCGATCTTCTAATATCATGTCATAATTAATATTTACTTTATTCTTTACCAACTGAATAAATGCGTTGTTCTACTAATTTTTATGTATGTAAGTTTTACATCCAATTCAGTGGTAGATTCAATATGTTTTTTCGACTGAATGTTGATTCAGAAAAGAATTTCATTAAACTATTTTAAGCGTCCTGAGGAATATTTGAGAATATTTTTTGTAGCTTGTAAGTAGTGCACTATATCATATGATTCTACTTTTTTCTTACTATCCGATTATCCTTGGAGATCCATAGTCTTTAGATGCACGAATGCCTCACGTATTGCCAATGGCACTTAAGAACAGTTAAATATATTTAATTAGAAATACATTTACATAAGCTAAAACATTGAAAATTACTCTCAGCTCTTCTTCTGTTTGAAATTTCCGCGCCATTTACAGAAACCTGTCGTATCGATCTTTAGGATTGAAAATCAGCATCAGACACTTCGATGAGTGCTAACAGTCTCGTACGTACGACTCGATACCTTCTTATCTCTAACCATAGCGAAAAATGAAATCTTATCTTTGCTGCTAATTGTTCGGTGGTTGGAGTCTGTTTTGTATATTACAGCAATTGTAAATCTGTTAGCGACCTTAAAATAAAATCGATAAAAACTATAGGTCATATCTGACCAAATGCATTTTTAGGACTCTCCGCAGTTAGTGAATCAAGCATATGTAATGTGTAAATGCACTAAAACTACTGTATTTTAGTTTATTTTTTGCTCAATACTCTGACCTGCACAGAGATTTCAAAATAAAAATTTCCCTAATTCAAGATGTTATTTTGCAGTTTCATTAGCGATAATTATCGATACATTGCTACAGTTTCCTAGATTAATATTGTCACTTCTTGATTTTATTAATACGAGGATTTCTAAGAAGAAGAAGTTATTGTAGGGATGAGCGGTGACGGGAGCTTATTTCTTTATGCGATATTTGGCGATAATCGAAAACTTCCTTGAGAAACGATACTTGAGTAAACCTTAACTGAGAAGCATCGGACTACCCTTCATTTCTTTATGATTATAATGATATACGGAATGGGACAAATACTTTCAATCACGAGCGCGTTCAATTTGTAAATTTGACAAAACCGCGCTTAATTTATGTAGTTTCTTTGTGCAATTAGTCAGTTATTAATATCTAATGAGGAAATTGTCAATAATTGTAACGGAAATACATAAAATTGACGTTTTTATATTATTATGTTACTATAACATCATTAAATTTCATTAAATCCATTTTTTTCAATAAACTTATCGCGTTTTCTACCTTTATTATCAAAATTTTAATGGCCAATTTATAAATCTCTTATTACGTTATCTTGTATTAAGATTTCGTATTAATTTCAAATTTTTCTACTAGGAATGATAATGACTACTCACATCTTGCATATAACTTAAATTGGGAATTTTATCGTTAAACTCAGTGTAGCATCAAGTTGAGGTCCCGCCACCGCAACCGAACGGCGTTCACGTGACATTTATACAACACACTTACAATGTTACTTTACCTTCGTACATAATATTCTCTTTTTTCGGCCATTATTGTGATGTTTATTTTAATAATCATTTATTCGACTGCGAACGCGTTTAAATTTTCTATATAATGATTATTTTCTGCTTTACCATCAGTTTCCATAAGATCGTGTAACTAGTCTCCATCTGGTGGTCAAGGTTGTAAGCGATCTTTTAATGCAATCGTAGCTCAATAATGAAGTGAAAGTACTCAATAAAATATTTAAAAATAACTAAGTTTGCCAAGACTTTTGTTGTTGGTTGTATCAATTTTTTGAATTAAATTATTTATCTAATGATCTGTTGATATGCAGTTGCACCTTTTAATGCATATGCATACTTGGTTGAATTAACATATCTAATATGTAGACACTATAACGAATAATAATTATAATTAACAAGGCAATAATGTTAAATTATTGAAAAATTTGCTGAAATATCTCAATATCCATTATAAAATAGTATAGAATAAGGGCTAAGGTCGAAATAAACACTGACAGTTCATGAAGTAATTTTTTGAAAACAATTTCCCTTTTATTTTATATTTTTCTTTTTCACTCTTGCACAAATACATTCCAGTTCTAAAGATCTTGATTTCGATAATTTTAGTACGATTATTCTTGCATTTATTTGTTTGGCAATCACTTTTTTTTATAACTTCTAAATTATCCGCAAAATGCTTGTATTTAATCTCTCGTTTTCCACTTGCATTTATATTGAAATAAACAAATAATAAACTATTATTTACAATATCACTATATTTTTTATTTTAATTATCTCTTATTTATATGTACAGAAGTCATTCGTTCGCTTAATAGACGTAACTTGTAAAGACTCTAGAAATATTGAGTTTGGTCAGGTCAGTATGGGTAATTAATAATATTTTTATTACTTTTTTTTATAATAACTCTGGTTTGAATAATAAATGCGTCAATGCCAATATTGTTTATAGTTCAAATAATTTATAAATTGTTATTAAAATTACTCATACAATTGCATGTTTAGCGGTGTTACTAACTAATATATACTTTGTCATAAGTAGGGGCCTGAGATTTGCTTTTACCATTAAATTTGTTTTTAGTTGTACAGAGCGGAAACGAACTCGAATTTACGGCTAGATGATTCGGGGGCGTTACTGTTGATCTAAATTCTCGCGCTTTTATCTGTAGTATCTAGCGTCTGTGTTACCATAGACATTCATGGCCTCGTAATGAATGTACCTTGTTCGATGAAAAAAATAATCTAGAGTTCATTAAATGGGACGATTTTTATCGTTGAGTTAGGCAATATTGATACCTCGTACTTGTGTTCCTTCCTTTGTTTTTTGTTTAAATATTCCTATATAACTAGAGTCGTTTACAGAACGAAATCCATTTTTCAATAGATATTCAATATCCAACGACCTCGCGTGTCTCCGAACTTTGTTATTTTAATTGAAATTGTTCGTACATCCTATATATCTTTATATAGTTTCAATATACATGATACAAAAACGCTTAAAGTTAAGGAAATAAAATTCAAAAGTTCAACGCGATCTTTAATGGTCTAGAAATATAACAATTGTCATTCATACGCGACCTGCGAGTTGTGTTGGTGCTTATTCACACAAAATCATTTTAAACATCTAACATACACCTCGATTTATAATAATTACTCTTTCTCAGGCACCTGTGAATATTTACAATCGAGAAAAATGAAAATAAGTTTATTCATGACTTGACCTTCTTCTGTTCTGTGTATCCACGCGTCGAGCGCTGATCGGAATCAATAGCGGAACATCCGTGCCGTAGATATTTGGACTTGTTTTTTTTTAATTATATTGTGTACATACAAAAGTAATTATGGGGCGGGTGTAGAAAAATATGGAATCTACGACGAACCTAATGAACTCTAAGATTCATACAAAATATCATTTGATTAACGCACGCTAGACCAGAAAGATGCTCCATTCGTTACATTTTGTTTGCAGGTCGTATATTATCTAGATATTGGTAGACATTTTAGTATACGTGGCTTCGACGAACGAAAGAAAAGAAGAAATGAACATTAGATGTAGTTGAGAACGGACAATCGATAGTATGATTTTACTGATTATTATGCAATATTTACAGTCAGTATAGAAGCTACGCATATTGATGAGTGACTAACTCCTGCCATCCAGAGCTTTTCTTTTATATTATTGTGTCTTTATCAATATTTGTTGTTGGCGCCATTAGTGAACGCCCGTTTCGGCTGAATTTTGTTCGAAGCATTTTACATTTGTAAGCTTGTCCAAGTAATCGCGATCAGTGTAGTCTTCCAAGAAGGCATTTTCGTTAAAATCCTCGATATATAAAACATTTGCTCTCGCTACTGAAACTCGCTCTCTCTTTCACGCGCGATTAGGAATTGTCATCAAGTACAAATTGGTTAATTGTGCAATCGGCTATACATATCGTAATAAAAGTAACAACAATTCGGCAATGAGAGGGGGGGCGCCGGGCACTTTGTACAGAGGAGGCGGTGGAGGGGGAGAAGGAGGGAGTCCGGGATCGGCAACCGGAAAGCCGAGCAGCGAGCAGAACAGCGAGGCGGGATGGGGGCGGTTGGTCCGGCTGGCAGGCTGACGGCGGCGCCTCCGGCCGATGCGCTAGGAGCCTTCGCTGCTGCGTCGCCGCTTCTCGAGCTCGTGCGCGAGCATGGCCACTTCCCAGTTGTTGTGGCCCGCGGCGTCGATGAGCCCGTCGACGTCGGGCTCCAGCTCGTCCTCGTCGTCGTCGTCGTCGGCGGCGCCGAGGCCGGCGGGAGGCGCGCGCGCGCCCTCCGACTCGCTCTCGTCGCTGGACTCGAGCTCGATGGCCACCTGGTCGCGCCACAGGCTCTGCGGGCTGATGGAGCGCGGCAGCTCCTGCAGTTCGAGCGTCTCCTCCTCGGAGTGCTCCTCCCAGGAGCGCCGGTTGCTATGGGTGTTGGACGAGTCGGTGGCGGAGGAAGGCGAGGAGCGCCGCCGTCGCGGCCTCGCCGTCAGCACCGTGTCCACCGAGCCGTCGCGCATGAACGGGTGCTCCGGCTCCTCGTCGGCGAAGTCGTCCTCCTCCAGCGAGGCGGCCTCCTCGGAGCTGGAGTCGCCGCCGCGGTCCGCCTCGGCGGCGGTCGCCGCCTCCGGACCCGCGAGCGCCGAGCCGGGGTCGCCGCCCTCGAGCTGCAGGATGCGCGCCTGCAGCTGCGAGATGATCTCGTCGCGCTTGCGGACCTCCAGCTCCAGCGAGGCGAACTCGCGCTCGAAGCGGCCCTCGATCCCGGCCTGCAAGCCCGGCAAGGCGCGTCCGTGAGAAGCGCGGGCCGCGCGGCCGGCCGCTCGCCGGTCTACTCACCAGTCTGGACTGGACGAGCTGCCGGATGCCCGATACGATCTCGCCGAGGCACTCGTTCTCCCTGGCCCTGGCGCGCGCCTGCGCGTGCTGCTGCCGGCTGACCACGGCCCCGCCGGCGCAGGCGGCCCGGCAGCCGAGCTTGCTGGGCGGCAGTGCCAGCGGCGCCGCACCCGCCGCCGCCGCCGCGCCCTCGTCCACGGAGGACGATGAGGACGAGGGCGGCGCCGGCGCCGGCGCCGGCAGAGCCGGGGCGGCGCTCGCGCCCCGGGCCTCGTCGTCGCCAGGGGGGCTCTGCAAAGTATACTTGTTAAAGGTGACGCTCTTGGAGAGCTTGGAGTGGCGGGCCGCGTAGCCCTCAAGGGTCGGCGCGCGCATCAGTTTTCTCAGCTGGGCACGGGCGGCCGAGGCCGCGGCCTCGCGTTCCGGCGAGGTCTCCGAGCTGCCGGCCCGACTGCTCACCGAGAGCTTCTTTAAGATGCTCTTTAGCTTTCGCCGCTCTAACGTTTCGTTCTCGGGGGAGAGCTGTTCCGCCGAGGCAAGCGTGCGCCGACGACGCTCCTGCAATACCAGCAACCATGTCCAAGCTCAACTCTCGTATTGTCTGCTCGCTCGGTCAACCATTCAAGCAACCAGTCTCGCCAGGCCACATTCGTCGCGACCGATCTCGTGCAACGCAACCAACGCAATCAACGCAACCATCGCAGCTACAGCTCTACGCTCCGCTCAGTCAGTCCTTGCTCGCTGTGCGTTCTTGCAACTGGGCTACGTGTGCGCGCTTGCATCGCTAGACTCTACTGCTACTTCATCAGGCACTATCGGGCTGCGTGCTTTATTACTCGAGGCGGTTGCGCAAGCAGGCCCACGGTGTCCTCGGCTCGGCGTCTTTTCGGAAAGCCGAACGTGCTGCGGCCGAGGCCCATCGCCCAAAGCTGCGACACCTTCGTCGCGAATAGCACCGTCGCTATCTAGCGCACATACAAGAACCGTGCAACAAGCACATTATTATTCGCATTGCCAATGAAAGCCTGCTCCGCGCTGTGTACACCTATGCCATTTTGTTCGCCAGTGCACGCTCTACGCGACAGTCTAATCGTCTTCGAGGGAGATCCCTTTCAAGCGTCTGCTATCGCTCAAAAAATGATGCTCTTGCCGCGACAGGAGGATTTTCTCGTGCCAGGCGTAATCGCTGTATTCTCTTGCCTCTGGAGGACCAGTTTTTTGAGCGTGTACGGCGCAGACAATAACGGGAATTTACCGAACCAACTAACGAGGCGTAAAATGCGTTTGACCAATCATCGAAGCAATTTGGCGTACAATGCAAGCTATTATAACAACGTTCATTGCCTATAAGCGACAGAAATGCTCAGCATAATTCGAGAAGCATTGCAAAGTTATAGCGTGCAATTAATGTCGTGTTGCAGCGAGTATGTACTTGTATTACTTGATTGTATTGTTATGATAATATTTGAGTGTCACGTGCGTTTTGTCCGATCAAATAAATTCTGCAGTGAACGAGTGGCGAGCGGCGGGCCATCCCGCGATATAGCTCAAATCAAATTGTGAATGCTTTGTAGCGGTGGCGTTCGGCTGCAATACTTTGTGACTTCGACTGTACCGTCATCCGTCACGTCACGTCACGTAGCTGCGCGTCTCGAAGCGGCTGTCAGGTGCGTGCAACGCGAGCGAAAATTAGCGGACGCGGGATGCATTTTTTTTTTCAGGTTGATGAATCGCGAACTGTGCAGCAGCAGCGGAACGAAAAGACGAGCTTCGTTTGCATGCGCGCCATTGCGACAACGCGAACATCTATCAGCCGGCTTGCGCGTATGGCGAGTAGCTGCGACGCATATGGAGTTAGCCGCGCGGCGCTAGGCACCTATCGCCGCGACGTAAACAACGACGCGTCCGCGATGGAGCCGGCGGCGTAGGTGGAGCCGGCCAATCGGAGGAAACCAGCGGCTGCCGAATACAGCAGTGAGTAAGCTCGTGGAAATTGGTTGAGAGTACTGGAGTATCGTAGAGAAAACAGTATGTCGGAGTGTTGGCTCTGGTGCATATAGGCGCGGAAGGAGAGAGGTGCGCGCGCTTACCTTGTTGAGCTTGGCGAGCTTGCGAGCGTACTCGATGGCGCAGGCCTCGGAGTGGCTCCTGGTGAGGCTGCCGTCGAACTCGGCGTCGGCGTTGGCGTTCTCGCCGCAGTCGAGGCTCGAGCTGCGCACGGCCTTCTCCAGCTCGGCCAGCTTCTGCCGCTCGTTGAGGATTTTGAGCTTCTTGACGAACGGCAGGCCGCAGTACTCGGGCGACAGGTCGTCCACGGAGGCGTACATCTTGGTCTGCTGGCGGATGTGCACGAGGCTCTGTCGCTGCGGCTGCAGGCGACGCGCGGGGCCGGTCAGCGCCGACGAGGAGGACCTGCGCTGCTGGTGGTGCGGCTGGTAGCCGGCGCCCGAGCGCGGCCTCGTGGACCCGTTGGTCTTGATCGAGGCGTCCTTGAGCTTCGCCCAGGGCTGGCGCGGCCGGGCGCAGCTGGCGCCGCTCTCCGCGGGCGCGTCCATCGACGAGCCGGCACTCGACTGCTTGGGGCTCGGCTGCACGTCCGGCTGGTCCGTCGACGCGAAGCTCTCGCTCTCCTCGGGGATGACGCTGCGCGGCAGTAGCGGCTCCTTCGCCACCATCGACTCGCGATCCGCCAATGCGTCCGGCTCCGCCTTCGACTTCATGTGCAGCAGCCTCTGCAGCAGGGGGACCTCGCGCGGGTTCGGCGCGTCCCCGCTCGGCGGCGCCTGCAAGCCGAACCAGACTGGTTCTCGGAAAGGCGCAGTCTGGCGAACGGGCCGCGAAGGCTGCAGCGACGAGGCAACGGAATGGATATCGCCGGAAACGGATGCGGGAGGGCGCGCGAGGGCCGGGCGAACCTGCTCGTGAGTCTGCGGCGATCCGTCCATGAGGATGCGCTTCTCCTCGCGGTCCTGCTTCTCCTTGAGCAGCCTGAGCCGCGCGATCAGCGGCAGGCCCGCCCCGATGGGCGAAACGGGCGTCTCCGAGGCCGAAGTGCCGATGTCGGCGCTCTCGTCGATGCGCGTCTGCCGGCGCAGCTGCGGCACCTTGGAGGTCAGCGGCTGCAGCTCCAGGCTCTCCTCGGGCCTGGTGTTGCGGCGGCTCTTGCGTAGCACGTTCTTCAAGCCCTTCACGTCGACCTTGAGCTTGTCGACGATGCGCTTGCCGGCGCTGTTGTCCGAGGAGTCGTGGCCGGGCGAGCCGCCGTGCGGCTGCCTGAAGCTGCGCGCCACCCGCTTCGCCTCCTGCAGCCGCTTCTCGCCCAGCTTGCGCAAGATCTCCTGCGCCTCCGGGTAGTCCTTCAGCGCCGCCAGCACGTCCTCTCGCGACAGGCTGAACAGCTCCGAGTAGCCGACCGAGCGCACGTCCGCCGTTCGCCTGCGTGGAAACAATCGATCAGTGCGGGGAACGCCAAGTGCTTTCGGTCGCAGTCGAGACAGGTGAATGAATGGCCGTGAGCGCGATCGCGCGTCGCCGAGTCTTATCAATGACGGGAGCGGACGAAGGCGCGGCAGTGCTGGCTAGTTCGTCTCGGATCGAAAGCCGCGGGGCGCTCTGCGGCCTCGCCGCCCTGTACGTAGTAACGGCTGCGGCCAAGTGAACGATCGCGCGGATCGCGCCGAGTGGGCGATCGCCAGCCCGTTCGGGCGGATGGAGGAAGCATGATCGACCTACTTATTGAGCCCGTCGAGGTTGAGGATGCCGATCTCGCCGAAGAAGTCGCCGGCTTTCATGGTGGTCAGCACTCTGCCGGTCTCGCTGATCACCTCCAGGATGCCGTCTGCGATGATGAACATCTCCCGCGCAACCTCGCCTTTGCGGCAGATCGAGTCGCCTGGCGTGAATATGTAAGCCTTCATCTTCAGCACGAGGTCGTGCAAGAATTCCGGTTGGCATTCCTATAAATATTCGCACACCCATTTTAGCTGCGCGCTTCGCACGGCCGCTTCGTTTCACTTTCAACCGAGCTACTATGATTTTCGCCGCTTGCGCATGCAATATTTATGTTGCATCGATTCGATCTGTATTTGATTTGCAAGAGGAGAAAAACGGCCTCGCCGCGCAGCCGGAGAAGGGAAGCCAAATCGTGCAACTACTTTCCCGGCGCTGTGGAGCACTAGGCACCGACCGAACGTTCATAGATAAGAGAGAAAAAAGACCGCGCGTAACGACCCGCCGACCGACGGGATTGCCGCTGGTCTCTCGCATGAGTCGCCGTGCTCGCGCGTAACTTTGATTGCATCGTGTCGAGTATCGCGAATTCGGCGACGTCAAGTTTCACTTGGTTTACGGGTGTAGCTCTCTGCCTGTATAGACATACAGCCTTCGCATCGGCAGGCTGCTCGGGGCTTTCATAACGTGCTCTACGCTCGACGAACTACATCGTCGTTAAAACGGCTCGCAGCATGTAAACGAGAGAGAATAACGAGTTTCATCGAGGACTCGCGAGGAAGCCTCCAACAGAATGCAAAGTCTACAATCTTGCCCCTGTCTGCAGGTATTTATAATTGCGCAAAAGCTTGTGAACGTATACGCGATCACAACCGCACCGACTTTGTCTTCGATTCTCCAATTAGACTGCAATCATTCTTGCATGTTCGTGTGCCTGTTTTCTCGAGCGGAAAGTCGCTTTTATCCAAGTCTTTTGTCCTGTATTGCTCCAGCTTTAACTTGCGCACTGTCCTATTTTTATTAAACATCAAATCATTGTCATGTTGTGCATTGTACCTCTCTTAATCTACATAATTGTTCTTTTGATATCAGATATCTCTATTATCGCGTATTTAGAAAAAAACTAGGGATTTTCAAGTCACTTTTGTCTGTCTACGATAATTCATCTCAAGCTTAGCAATTACAGTTAAGTCATTCATGGGATAATTGCAAGACGAATAAATATAGTTAAATGTTGAAAAAGTTAAATACATTCAATGCAATGGTAAAATTATCGACCTGAAAAACGCTTTTTCAACTCATTTTCTATTTGTTATGGCCTGAATTTCATTATCATGTTAGAATGTTTCTATGTTTTGAATATTTTATCAGTTTCTCTATAAGTGTATTACAAATATAATTCAAATGGGAGTTTTTGAGCTGCTTTGATATTCGAAAACGGTAAAATTTGTTGTCAGAGTGCCGCAATTTAAAAGTACATAAACCGGATTTAATGTACACGTTCTATACTTTTTCACTGGTTTTACCAACTATTCGACAACAAAGAAAATTGCTAAATGAATTTGCTTGTATTTAGAATAGTTTTACACAGACTATCAATTTTTAATACTTTTTATTTTTAATTCGAAAACTATACGAGCACGAAAAGAAAAAATAATCGAAAGAAGTTTGATGTTACGAAGACAAGCTTCAATTTTCAAAACGTAAGGTAGCAAGAACGAAAAGAGTTAGCTAAAAAAAGAAAAAGAAAAAAATAAGGGGTCAGGAAAAGTCGGCAGGACAAACTTTAGCTTGTGTATATTGCTGAGGGAGGCTAAGTGTGGATACTAGTGTAACTAAGTTTGATCTATTTCAACTTTAACCGTGTGAGTGCGAGGCGTTGCTGTTACCCAACTTCTTTCTCATACTATAGAGCTTTGGAATATATATCCGACTCACTATCTCTCTCTGTCTCTCTCGAGATATTATCGGATCAAATCTTACTTTGCCAACTTATTATACAAATAAACTGCATCGTTGCTGAAAATATGATTATCCGTGTTTACACTCCAGTTATGTCCGAAATTACAATGGGGCCAGGTAAATTTTGATCGAGTTGTAATGATTTTTAGATAAAAATAATTTTTATTGAAACTTTGAATGGAGAACTGATGGCGAATTGATATATAGACAATAAGTTTAAGGTAATGATCATTTTGGAATAATTTTAATTCTTTTTAATTTGGTCGCAAATTTGCCCTTTTCGTTGGACCAGTAATTATTTTGAACAAAGTGTAACTTTTAAAAGTGGGTATCAATTAAAAGAAGTTTCACTCTAACAATACGTGCTCGACTTGAAAATAAAAACCAAACGAGAACTCCTCTCGTCGAGCGAATTTTTGTAAAAATTGTTGCGAAGCTCGTTTGTTTTAATGATCATTTGTGGAGCAGAAAATAAGTAAAAAAGCAAAACGAACGTTTTGAAAAATTGGCCTAACAAGCATGATAAAGTTGCGCATCACTTTCTAACGAGTTAACTGGAGAAGGAGAGGTGTAACAAAGTGGCAATGCGTTACGTCTCATACCAGGAAATAGTAGGCCACTACGAAGGATTACGCTCTTGGCGACAAGTAGCATGCGATATCCTTTCTTAGCTAGCTTTGACGTTGCGATTCTTACCATCTCGCTTAAGCGCTAACATTTTCGCGTCGCTTTGGCTTTTCCGTATTTTTTATATTTTTTTATTTTTTTCGCCCGCGTGATACTACTTGATCACAAAAAAGACGACTGAACTTTTTTCAAAAGAAGTTAATTTAAACCAGTACATTGAATAGCTAATTACACTTACGGGGAGAAGATTCTAATATAACTAATTATGCAAAAATCAAGTTGAATTTGATTGGAATAGATCCGAAAGCTATTAGAGCGAGCTTTATTAGCAGAATTGAATAAAGTTTGCGAGGAGCGGCGAAGAGTGGAATAATTGCTAAGTTTTAATGATGAGCACACAGAAGCATGCATATAGAAAGGAGACGAGCAGCCACTCACCTGGAAGATGGTGACCTTCTTGAGAACGGACAGGTTGACGTGTAGAGCGAGCTCGGTCTTGAGCTTGTCGGGCAGCAGTCCGAGGGCCGTGTTGATGTCGCCGCCGCCCTGGATGCGTCCGCGCGACCAGCTATAGTCGTACCATCGGAGCACCCGCCTCTTCATGCCGCCGGGCACTTTGTGATGGCGCATGTAGGTCTTGGCCCCGTCGAGCAGTCGCTCAAACTCCAGTCTGTTCGCGTTCCGGTTCGTTATCACGTTGCCCACCTGGCCGACTATCGTCGCGAAGATGAACACGCCGATCAGGTAGCTCACTATCGTGAACACGTACCTGCAGTCCCCCAGCCGGCAACAGACAACAGACAACAAGGCCTAACGTCATTTATTTATGTTCTCACCTTGCCCATACTTCCGCACGCCAGTGTGCACTAGTTCATCATGGGTTTGTTCTTTAACGGACGAGCGGCCCCCGCCGGAGCCCCTCTTCCACATCCTTTCTTATCTTTGCTTTTCTTTGGCTGCGGCGATTCTTTTCTGTGTCTTTTTCTCTTGTATGCCCTCCCTCTCTCTAACCATCGTTATAGAATACGAAATCGATTGTTCCAACGATAAGCCGTGTATCGATCGGGTATCGCTTATCTTTCATATTTCTCTAATATTTGTTCAAAGAATCGTTTAACGCTTGCGTATGCGTTCGATCGAGCATAAATAATAGGCTTCCGTGTACATTCAAAAGTTGAATTTTGAATTATTTCTTAAATAATGTGTTCGACAAACTTCGATACTCTGCAAACACTGGAGCGAACTATTTTGAATAAATTCAGGTTGAATGCAATTTGTTGTTTCGCTCGATATCCATCAATGTATTTATTTTGATAAAATGGACTATCACATGTTGCGATACAACTGCATTAACAAAATATTCTACAAGATGAAAAGATATTGAATTTATGGATTATAATTGTACATCAAAATGAAAGTGCCTAGTTGTATTGGGCGAGTACAAGAAAAAATCATGCAATTCGATTGTTCAGGTTATTTACTTCAGCTGGTGATATTTTATCCATTGATATAAAGTTATCCATAAATATTAATATCGCAGTATGAGTTATCGCTTGGAGAAGTTATTGAAGCAAAAATTTGCATTATTTTCTCGTCTCATCGACTGGAAAAATTGAGACAACGGGACGATTGATAAAAGAGAGAAGTTTGGCCGTTCTTAACAGTCCATAATCTCCAGCTGCTATCACTTTCAATACTAACTCTTTGTATACGTTAACCTTCTTTTTCTTTTATTATTGCACACAAAAAATCTGTTCATTACATCACCTGTATCATTTGCAAGAATCTCTTTTACACGCTTACCCCCTTTATAGCCACACTTGGAGAAGAGATTGCGGAACGAGCTACACGGATTTTCCCCTAGGCGATACAGATCGTTTACAGATCGTTCATTTCGTGCCTTTGAGGAGTATTTCCTTTTTGAATTTCTTGTCGTCGTCGCACGTATGCGCCTTACTGCTTGGTTTTCTTTGCAATGAAGAATATGTTATTACTTAAAACTCGCTTACTTCGAAGTTAAAAGTTTTTACGCACCCACCAAAAACTGATTATCACTTTAGATGAATGGACAGGTTTGTTGGGAATTTAAAGAAGGATGATTGAAAAGATGTGTATGAAATATCTGGTATAATATCAAAATGAAGTGTCATGTGAGAGGGCCGTAAATGATTGTAATAGAGCGAGAGAGGTACAGGCTAAGGTTTGTACGCCTCACTGGCCCGTTAACATCATAATGAATGTGTCAGGTCATAGTCGTGAAGGAAGTATGAGCTGCAGCGCAATATCAGGCTCGAATACTGCCGCTATATGTATGTGTGTGTGTGTGTGTGTGTGTGTATAGCAAGTTAAGTTAAGCGAGCGGCTGAGCGCGTAGTGAGAAAAGCTCGACAAATCGGAGTTCAACATTCAAAAGTTCAACACGCTTGCATACGAGACACGGAGCGCGACTATCAGTGCAAGCTCTACTTAACAGTTGATGACTGAACGCTCGTTTGGTTTTTGAGAGACGTAATTTTGCAGCTGACGACAATGCTCGACTGCAAAATTACGCTAAAGTAGTTCTCTCTCTCTCTCTCTCTCTCTCTCTCTCTCTCTTTCTGTTATCAGTTTGATGCTCTGCAGCTTATGCATATTAATTCATGTCATGCATATATACTGAGAGCTTAGACGAAAGCACGAGCACGATTTTGTGAGCTTTGTTTAGTACATCAAAACATACAACCTGTTCCAATATTGTCGAGACATACCAAACTGATTAGTGTAGTATTTCGAAAATATCTGTGGGAGGTGAAAGTCAGTACCTCACTTACGAGACTGAGTGAATATCGACCCGAAACTTGGGCTTCGGTTCTCGAATCCTGTTGCGGTCATGAGGCTTTGGGAGCTTGCGAATCTGAGCTAATGCACCGCGACACTCACAGAGACCGATGAAAAGATTAAACGGAGATTTAAGATAGAGAGAGAGAGAGAGAGAGAGAGAGAGAGAGAGAGAGAGAGAGAGAGAAAGAGAGAGAGAGAGAGAAAGAGAGAGAGAGAGAGAGAGAGAGAAAGAGAGAGAGAGAGGAGAGATCTTCTTCAGTCCTTCCTACATAAGCAGCGCACGCATCACTCTACCGGCAAACTTCATTAAATGGAGAGGATTACCGCCGCCAACCAAAAGAAAGAAAAGAAAAGAACTGATTCTACAGTGCGACCTGCTGAAGCCACTGAGTTGCATTCATGTTTCTTTTTTTTCTCGTTGACTCATCGGCTTTGATATATATGCCTGTCTAACTTCGTCGATTTCGAGATTCCTTGTAAAAGGCAAAAGCTGCACTCTTGTTTTTGTCAAGTTATCTTTTTAAAATTCTCTCTCTCTCTTTCTCTTTCTCAAAGAAATACGACTTCTTCAAAGAGAGTGCATAGTTGAATTGCCCGCGAGCTTTGAGGTTTTCAAGTGAGTCGTTAGCGACGTAAGGCAAGCGTGAATCACGAGTGAATGCTCGGAGCAATACCGAGAGGAAAGGTGAGTCACAAACGAAATTCCATGACACGTTTTTATGTGTAGCTTTGAGCAGTTTAAGCTGATAATAGAAATAATTTTATCTTTATAGCGAATTTATGATTGACAAACTTAAAAATGAAAATTATGCGACGATGAATGACGTGTCACTGTAAATAGAAGTTATACTGAAAATTTCGATGTTGTACCGAAAGGGTATTGTTCTGGAATAGAAATAAAAATAATCACATAAATAGTAAGTACGTCATCTGCTTAGAAGAAACAAGAAAACAAAACGTAGATGAAGTAACAAGCTTAGAAAAAGTTGAAATTTTGTCAGAATTAATTGATAAATTGAGTTTTAATAAGATGAAAGCATAGAGACACAGAATTAACGACGAAGAGAACATCATTCGAGGGCAATGGTACCACTCGAATACGCCAAAACTGCTCACCTCATCTCGTGGATTCCAAGTGTTTTGGCGAATTGACGCGCGCGCGTTTATTTAATAACGATCGTTGGGCAACCGGCCAAGACGCAAGCACAACACTCAACAACTAGAACTACTCAGCAAAGGACTTCATCGAGCAGTGCGCGCCTCGACTGTTTAATTACTGTTATGTGGAACCACTCTCATTATTTAGCTATCGATGATTTCAACTTGACTGTATCCAATAATAACTTCAATAACTAAAATATGTATATATGAATTACAAAGTCAACAATATAATGCTAAATAATTCGTTATATCAAACAGCTATCATTTCATCAAATTTGATGACTTCGATCAATTACGTTTTCTTTCCATCACTTTTTCATGCTTTTTTCTGTACTTTTTATTTGACTTTTGTTCTTTCGTTCCTTTTATCTCGATTTTTGAGTGCCGACTACGCTAACTTTAACTTTAATTTTTTTATTCATTTGACGTGGAGTGTAGTTTGACTATTATCTTTTGAGTGACTTTAAGAAAGAATGTGTGAAAGATTAATGTGATGTTACTACACGTTTGATTAAAATTATTAGAATTCATGATGAATAACATAGCTTAATCAAAATGAAAGAACAGATTACATGCTCATTTTTTGGTTTCAGTCAAGCAACTGATTTTTCGCTTCTTTTTACTTGATCTTTTCGCTTTCTCTCTCTCTTTCTCTCTCTCTCTCTCTCTCTCTCTCTCTCTCTCTTTCTCTTTCTCTCTTTCTCTTTATCTCTCTCTCTCACTTACTCTCTTTGATTATCTTTTGCTTTTTCTCGGGGAGATCTTGATTGGCCTATTTCCGGAGCAAAGTAGAGAGAAAAAAGTCAGTAGCGCAAAACTTGATTCCCCTTGGTGAGCGACGAAGTGTATGTATGTGTGTGAAAGAGAATCGGAGAAGGAGGGAGAAAGAGATAAAGATAGGGATAAAGTGAGATACAGGATGATTAGCGCAAGCTCAAGCAGTAGTCGTAGCTTGACTCATCAGACGATAGGAGCCACAGATTTTCCTCTCCTTTCTCCGATAGCAAAACTCCTGCCATTTTCAATTCTCGCTTTCACCACTTAAATCTGTGCTTTCCGTTGATTCCATGGCTTTTTTTGAATCGTCTATTCTACAGTTTCTACAAATGACAAGACCCAAAGCTCTTTCACTAATGAAGAGGTTATTTACATTATTTTCGTACTGTCTACCGAGCAGTTTTCCGAGTTTTCAATACTGTTAATAAGAAAAACAATTGTTATTTACATAATTAATTTATTTCAGAAATAGCGAATTTTTTCACGGATTATCAATGAATTGCAGGCTCATAAGGGGAGACCATACCCTTCCGGTCATGAATTGGTTCAAACTTGAACAATAGCGTATAGAATCAAAGAACCTCGAAGGATCTCTCCTATGAGCCTTTGTTAAGGATTTATCGGGCCTTATATGTGATATATTTCAAAATGGAATTCCTATTTAAGTCAAAGTGTCTTAAAATGTTGAGTTTACCGTAATTTTAGTTAAGTAGAGTGACCAGTAGCAAGCTCAAGTTCAATAATTCTGTTAAAAAAAAATTCGTAGAAAAGTATAACCCGTTCGTAAATATTGCCGATTAAAAATGTACGAAAAATCTTTGGAGAAAGTTTCATCTGTAAACAAGAAAAGAACGCTGAGCAAGTTTAAGCACAATCCACGAAATGGAGGGTGTGGTCTCTCTTGTCAGTTATATTTCGAACAATATTTTACTTTAGTCGGTAATTTTTTTAGATAAAAACGTTCGATAAATCTTATTTTCGTAATCACAAATAGTGACATATTGTAAATAAAAATGTCATGAGTATATACATCGCAAAGTATCGACGGAAAGAAGAGAATTTCTTGCAGGCGAGCATTCAGAAAGAGCCTCTATACATATCACTTGAAATCTCTCGAGGGTCAAAGAAGGGTGTTATGTAGCAATGTCAATTTAATGATTAATTCATGAAGCATCTCCTTTGAGACTATGCAGGCCAAAAGGGACGAACGATAGTTACGATGTAAATAATATGCTTGAACATCGGGATGATCGTACCAAACACGTATATATGTGGGCAATACGATATTTTGAACTTGACTCTGAAAAGAGATGTTTCGAATAGTAATTTTGCTTTATTTCTGGCTTTGCACAACTATCTCAGGTGATTATTGACTGCGATTCCTTTCATATGAATTATTCAAGTGTGTAGACTACACATTAATCTGTCTTTACGACTTTCTGCGCGACATGTAACTAAAAGTTAACAAATATCTCAAATTCTATTAGATTTGACCAATAATCAAAATACCAGCATATGATTTTCTAGAATTTCTTTCTATTGTACATTTTATAATCTGAATGCTTACGCGATAAAACAATTACACGCATATTTGTTATTTTACATCACTCCACAGTACATATATATTCTAGATTATCTGGAGTAGTCGTCAGTGTCGATGAGTACTGTGAACATTCACATCAACTTATAATAGCATTTTGAAGTATCTATGCTATACGAGAGTGAATATAATTCAATCAAATGTTATTGCATATTCAGAGACGAATCATCCCTTTCCATTCATCATATAAGATATAAAATTCATAAAGCTAAATATATTAGTTCGTGAAAAGTTTTATAGAAATATTGAAGAACTTAGAATTTTATGATAACTTAATACTAGAATTATGATCGTCGTATGTGATTGATAATACAAAGAATCGATTATCATGTGGAATTAAATTTTTCAGAGCTCTCGACTTTAGTACTGATGTAAGCGTGTCTTTGGCTTCTAATGCTCCTAATGTAGCAAAACGAATATTTATTTTTCAATAGAAACTACCAATAATTGTTAAGAATTCAGATACTATATATATATATATATATATATATATTTTGATATGTATTTCATTATATATGTTGTTGATGTGTATTCAATTACTTTTCAATTATAATTATTATTATTTTAAAAATAATTCTACAACTTATTATAAATTTCTTCAATTTACAAATAATATACGAAAATAATTGCATATATATGAGATTATATTAATAAATAAAAAGGACTAATGAATCAAAAGCAAGTTCTTTTGAATATGCTAACAGTTCGAATGAGTGTATTTAGCAAAGCAAATCATGTGCTAGTTACTGCAATCAATAATAACTTTTTATATGGTTGATGGTTACTTAAAGCAAAATGTCATTGGTTAAGATAAAACAGAAAAAACGGACACAACGTCGTTCATTCAAAAAATGAATGCACCAAAAAAATCCAGTGAGACGTTACTGCACATTCAGCTATTGGATGAAAGCACTATCAATCACCTTTCTGCCAATATATTTTATCGACGTTTTTAAATTCAAATTTTATTAAAAGTTATCTGACCTACATACTTTTATTTACACTGATTTGATACTCTTATTTTCTTGCTTTTACAGCGAATGATTAACAACCATGCAAGCGTTCGCATAAAAAATTATAAATTTTTATCTGGTTCAGCAATATTCTCTTTTTGAAAAAATTTTTATTTAAACAACAGTTTCAAAGTTTATGCAGATGTTTTCTAAGCGTTACTTAGCCAAAGTTAAAAGAAAACGTTTTGATAAATTGTTAGTAGCTTATTAGAAGTTATTGTAATATAGTCAACTTTATCAATGTTAAACAGTAGTTTTTGATAAGCTCATTTGAAGTCTCATTTTGAAATTGTCAAATTGCTGATTTGTCTATAATTTTTGTAAAAGTTTTCATATTTGAAAAAAAAGAAAAAATAAATTTGTTATTACTTAAGCTGATCGTAAACATAGAAATCAATCTGTAGTAAAGGAGGACCATATAAAAAACTAGCATAACACAGCAGGCTACGAATAGGCTAAAGCCCTAGCAGGGATTTAGAGTAGATCATAACAAAATTGAGAAAACAGTTAATCTAAACAGGAAAAATGTACAAACACTCACAGAAGTGCTTACAGACAACGAAGAATCGCATTATTATAAATGGAAAATGAAGATAAGGGATACTTCTATAATAATGATTATGGAATTTAAAAACTATATGTGATTGCATGGCACTGAAAAACAAGAAACTTTTAGCTACTAATGAAACTCGTGTCGGTACAGATAAAATTATAAAGATGAGCGTAAGCATATTCTCCATTTCTGAAAGAATCTATAGACAAGAGAGTCATAATTCGGTATACAGGGGACATTAATAGGCTAGTCAAGCGTCAGTCCCCTGTAAAGACCCAACAAGCTAACGACAATAATTATGTGTTTCCCATTAATTGAAGGATTAAGAGCTTTCATTATTAAGCTTTAAAACAATCGATCTAAAGAATTTGTGAAAGCTAGAAGTTTATGATAGTATCATTATCCATTTATAATGTATCAACGTAAAGATAGTAAATATCCAAAAAATGGTAAAAGCAACACTTTGGTTTTCAAATATTTGTGAACAAATATAGCAATAGCTCGATATAATTGCTCTTTGAAAGATAGAAGTAGTAATAGAAAAGTATGGGAAGTATTGAAAGAGCTTAGGTAACGATTTGGCAATAAGATTTAAAAACTGATATTCTCTTTGTGGTCATTGTCTTTTCCTTTTTCCGCAGCCAATCCAAAGGTTAAGCCGTTCTACTTTTCTTATACCCACTCATTCTTCCGGCACCATCCTTCCAGTCAGGCACTCTCTTCCTCTCCCATTCTCTTTCGTCTTTTCGCTCTATAACTCATCGCTTGGCCATTTCAACTCCGGCTTTCTCGACTTTTCGTTCCATTTATCTTTTATTGTATTTCCTAACCTCGAATCTCAGCCACTTTTCCCATTTCGATGTAGCTTTTATCGTCAGCCATATCACAAGTGCTTGATTATTGTTCATTATACTTTAAAGTTAAATTTTCTTAATTGTGAATTACTTCAAATAATAAGAAAAGTGTTGAAGAATAAAATAAGATTATCAGTTAAATATTTTTTGTATAGTTCATAATCTTTTGTGGTAAAAGTAATATATTTCAGAAATAGTTATTTTTATACGTTATATAATCCATTTTAACAATCTAGAGAAAATTAGAAAATGCGAAGTTTTGTAAGTAAAAGTTATTTTTCCAAACAAAACAAACTTTTAAAGAAAATAATTGTTAACTGCTGAAGTAACTTTTATTAGTGAACTAAATGATAGAATTGCCACTTCGTGTATTTTGATTGAATAACTTGATGAAACATGTCCTAGTAAAAGTCATGACATTCTTTTTATTTTCGATCAGTGGTTATGGCCAAACAATTTTTAGATAATTATAGACGAGTAAAAGATGAAAGAAAAGAATCACCGCAAGCAGACAAAGACACGATCTGTTGTATAAGATTTTGGTCTGTCATAAATTTTTGGGAACGATACAGATACCCTTCGTTATGCTTGAACTGCAGAAGCCGGGACAGTCGGCCGCGGCGTGCGAGGCTCCGGTGGTTACCGCCCGGTACAGCTCTGCCAACACAACAACATACCGCTCACGAGTCTAATTCCTAAAAACTCTGCTAGTTTATTTTCAATGGACACTTAAGAGACAATGGAACTTTTTTGCGTATCTTTGAACATTTCATGCAAATCGTGCGATTCTCACTTAGAATCCTTTTTCCATGATGTGAATGAAAAGGAACTTTGTACCACGATTGTTGATAAAGCACATTAATATAGGATCACAATAAGTAATGAGCACGTTGCGAGGTATAGAGCTGATTACGTAAAATTTATAACAACAATCTCATTCAATTCAATTTTACGCATTTTTTATCACTAAATAAGTCACTTTCTTATCCCGGATGGCCGAGTTTGTACTTCAGTCTTCGGGGAGCGATTTGTACGCTCACGGCTTGTCGTTTACCAGACCGCTGTGTATTACCGTCGCGGCGACGGCGCGCTAGCACCTTTACCTATCTTACGTAAGAACTCTTTTCAACCATCGGTACAGTATTGTTCATTACAAGCTGTGCGTTTCTCTTTCTCCGAGGGCTTGGCGTTCGTTTAGCGAGACATATAAGCGCATTCTAATCTATCCCAATCAATACATGCATTATTTCTTACAAAACTAGCTTCAGATCTGATTTATTTTCTTTTCATTCTTTCAGTGTCTATAACTCATAGATGTGTTACGAAAAAATTTGCTAAGCATAATTTTGCTAGTAAAAGAATGAATTGGTTGTTTATCAAATGAAAATTCCAAAAGAATTGAGCTAATGACTGAGTCCTCATGTTAAAAAGGCCCGTTATATTAGTTGACAAGTTCAATGTTTGTCCAGTAAGAAGAAAGATCGATGCAGCGCGTTTCGAAAATTCGGCCACGTAGCCGATTAATTTGTGCGGGGAAAGGTATTCGCACGGCACTTATATGTAGAATGTGTTGTGCGCGGGTCCGATGGGACCTTGGTGGACATAGATCGGCCAGCTCGGGCGTGAGCCGAGTGAAACTCCGTTTGATAATCTTTGCTCAAGTCGATGTTGCGCGTAGCAACCGGGAAGCGAGCGATCTACAACGAAACGGGAATCTACATAGGAAGTGGTTTGAGAGCAGCAGTGGCGGTGAATCGACGGCAACTCGGAAAGAGCAGGGTGGGCAATTGACACCGCGGTAATTCCATTCCCTCTTAAGTCTCGCACGGAAAAGCTCGGGGTTCGCTGGTTGAGTGGTGGGAAGAGTCAAAATTGGAGATAAGTAAGACAAGGCTGGGTCACTCACTCGGCGTTGGTCTCCGGAGTGGGCAGGTCGCCGATGGTGGTGAGGGTGAGGGTGGACCAGTAGAGCGAGCCGAGGTACTTGCGCGTGAGAGTGGCGTACTCGCCGGGCCGGTACGGGTAGACCCAGTCGCCATGGAAGCCCTCGGCTTCGCTGAGCAGGTAGTAGAAGCAGCCGAACCAGTGGGCCAGGATGAGCAGTATGTGGATGAGGTTGATCACCCGCCAGAGGTTGGGGTAGACGGTGCGCGACTCGACCATGTAGTAGTAGTTGTAGACGCGGTAGACCTTGAGGAAGCGCGGGAAGCGCAGCATGGGGTTGCTACCGAGGTTGACCTGCAGCAGGTCGAGCGGCAGCAGGGCCAGCAGGTCCAGCAGGAACGACTTGGACTTGAAGTAGTGACCGGCAAGCTTCTTGCTGTTGTAGACCATGAGGCCCTGTTCGAGGTAGCCTGTGCGGAACTGCACGCCCACGTCGAGGAAGAAGACGAGGTCGGTGAAGCCGTCGCAGCCGAGCCACAGCGCCGGCGCCATCTGCTGCAGCTCGGGCATGCTCTGGCGCACGATGAGCGTCCACAGATTGTACAGCACGCAGCTCGACAGCAGCATCAGCCAGTAGTAGTAGAAGTTCTCGTCGGGGTTCACCACGCTCTTCGGCGGCTTCTGCGGCCGTCTCGGCCGGCGCCGCCGCCGTGTCGCGCTCTTACCGGTCTCGTCGCCCTGCTCGCCCTCCTCGCCCTCGCCCGTGTCTATGGTCTCCTGGCTCTCGGGGATCTGCCGCGTGCTGAAGCGCTTCAAGAACGAGTCCTCGCGCTTCAGCGGCGGCTTTTTCTGGATTGTCGAGATCGCCGAGCTCAGCTGCACCGTCGTTCTCAGCTTCATCCATCGCTGGTTGCTTTTCGTTCTGTAATCCACAACGCCACCGACAAATCATATTCCGTCCTTTCTCTGCACTCCACACTCCAACCACACTCATTCAACATCGCGTGCTCGACTAAATTATCGCATCCTTACCTGCTGCTGCTATTGCCGTTGCTGCTGCTACTGCTGCTGCTGCTGCTATTTTCGCAATATTAACAACCATCAAGTACACGTATGAACGGTACAATCAGCTAATTGCTCCCTTCTACAATCCCCTTAATTGCCCTGTCTACATTTCACTCAATTTTTCGTGTTTCTTCTGTGCACCCTCTAAATCAACATATAACAACCAGCATCTATTCTAAGACAGTTATATGAAGCACATATACATGGCATCTATGAGTTTGGGCCTACATTTACATAATATTTATCTGTTATAGGAGCTTTTATTCGTTCACACCGTGTGTAACAATACGCACGTTACCCCCATTCTCGAAATTATTCAGAATATTGTACATTACATTATCTCGTGAGTATAATTATACATCTAGCGTATTCGAGTAATTTTAAGATAAAATATGAGAACAAATTTCATAAACACCGATTCTCACTGTTATTTTGTTAACGTTACATCAGTAATACCAAAGATTACCAATCATATAAAAGTCAACAAATTAAAAGTAGATATATAGCCATAGTTTCGGATAAAATGAGAGATAGACAGACAGTAGACATATAGACAGATTGATAGATTCAGATTAAAAAATGAAATTGTAATCTTGAAAACGTTTGAAATCAAGACTAGATACATAAACACTTCCATCATAGGTTAATTATTTAGTCATAACAGTTTTCAATAGTAAAAAAATATTGATATATCGTTTATGGAATATGGAAAAAACAGAACAGCTTTGAATGGAAAAGAATGAAGTAAACGCAAGCATAAGGAAAAATACCGAGAAAACCGCGTGTTAAAATTAAAAAGTTTTAAATATACTGAAATAAGCTCATAAAGAATACATTAACACCGACTTTAAACACTTGAAAACGTTTAAAATTTCTGACTATATATTTATTTTAGGTAATGTATTTAAAAACACCCATAAATATCTATATTATGCAATCGACAAAATTTTTTCTTCCCTGCAATAGTTTGTCCCAATTAGACAGCATCGGCAGTCGGAAACAAAGCCTTCGATAAGTATTTGTTCATTTATTCAGAAAAAGTATAAAAAATGAGTTTGTTTTACAGATACGTTTTTTGTTTACATGTAACTAATTTCGTTTCAATCGTTAACATGACAATTTAGAAAAGAGCTTAGCTTTTACACCCTACCCAAATAAACGCTTACACAAATTCTTGAATAAGGATTATTGATAATTTAGATGCATATTTGTTGAGTATCAATCATCCTCAGGGATCCCTTGTCATCGATGAAGGGAGGCTGTGATAAATTTTCCCCATTTTAGTAAGTTACAGATATTGGTAGCGGGGCTCCAAAGCCTTCAAATGATAGCATAAGATTTTCCCGTAAATATGATTATTATTTGTCGTTAAAAATAGCATTTGACTTCTCTAACTTTCGTATGATTTATTTTTATTATTAAATAATCAGCTATCTACTTCATCGGAGAGCCAATTTAAACTGCATTCTCTATCACATGTAACAAAACTGAGATTAAATGTTATCGATGGAAATATAACTGTACGTTTCTCGACATCTCTGCGAATTATAAAAATGGATATTTAATACTCAATTTGATTTTTCGATAACACGTTTTCATGAATAAAAACTCTCGTATGTGAACGGAAACTTTGCACGTAATACATAGTTCAGTAATACATATTTTGTCTGCGAGTGATTGTTCGCATATTAATACGAAAGGGCAGCGATTAAGACAATAAAAAATATTAATAGGAATAATAGTAACGATAAGAAGAAGCAGAGTAACAGTAATATTTATAATTTATAAAAATTTAAAATGATCTAACACACATTATTAAATAGCCATAAAGTTGCAGAGTTGTTTGAAAGAGTAAAATGAAAATCAACTTGGTCATACGCACTATCACATTTATTTTAGAAGTTGAGAGAGAGAGAGAAAGAGAGAGAGAGAGATAGCGAGAATAGACAGAGGCAGACTGTTCTACCATAGCTATAAGTATAATAAAAACTGAGTGACACTTATGGACTATGCGTAAAAATAGAAGGAGAGGAAAAGAGAAGAGGAAAAGTACTAGAAAGGAAACATTGTAAGTACTGAATTGTAAGTAAAAGAAGATAAAAAAATAAAAGAGTTTGCGAGATATCGTGGCAAGGGAGAATGGGAGAATAGGATCGACGCTGGCAGACGACGCTGAAGAGGCGCTCACAGACTCACAGGTGGAGACTCGCTGAGAGTAAGAGAGAGAAAGTAGGAAGCAGTGTGTGAGATAGACGGATGTATACTCGAGCATTGCTTGTTGCAGAGAGAGGGAGAGAAAGAAGAAGAGGTCCTGGTATTTCGGGTGGCAGTCGAAGGTTGCAGTCAATCAATATACATCAGTCAGTCGCGACATAAGGTATATATCAGATGAGTCAGGCTGCAATGGTGATTGACTGTACCTCTTGATCTTGCGCAGTGAGGAATAGAGGGCCATGACCGCGCGCACGTTACTCCACTTTTGCGAGCCTCTGGTGCTGCGCGGTCGGTTGGCCCTCGCCGGTATATCCAAGTTGGTACTGTCGTCCAGCGAGTTCTGCGAGGTGGCTTGCGACGTGGTGGTGGTAGTGGTGGTGAGGCTCACCGCGCCCCCGACACTCAGCGACTTCGATAAGCCATAGGCGCTGTCGCTCAACGATTTGTTCAGCCGCAGACGGCCCAGCCGCTGGCTACTGCTAGCACCGAACGACTTGTTCAAACTTGAGCTCCGACGATAGCCGCCCAACATATACCTGTGAATAATAGCCATGCAGCCAGCCCTCTCCGGCTAGCTCCCGTACTCCTCCTTCTTTCCTACCTCGCACCTACTTCCCTTCCTCTTTCTTTCACTCGATTCTCATCCCCGATCCACCTCGCGCCACTCGCTATCTCACTTACGCAATGTTTCCTCTGTGCTCTGTCCGTCTGTCGACATCTCTCTCTCTGTCTCCCGATTTTGATTCAGTCTTCTGCATTAGCCCATTTACTCGCTACACTCCATACCGTTCCTTACGCTCTATCCTAAATTCGTCAATCCCAATGCTAAACTCATGTCAATTATGCTTTGTTCCACTTTTTTGCGCCGGCCTACAATAACCTAACTAACTCGTGTAGGCCAGCTAACATATGTTCAACCACACATTTCTCCGACATCAACGTTCAATTATCAATTTGATTCACTCAATGAAACAATGAATCCACTTGAGTTTTGGATCAATAAAACTATTACGAACAATTTTTCAAATTAATGCGAAAGCTACAAACATTCTCACAAGACAAAAATAAAACCGGTGAAATGGCTTTGCGTACAATTAAATATTTATTTGCGAAGGGAACGGTGATAAGAGAGATTGTAGCGATAAAATACCTTATCACAGTGCCATTTTTTTATGTTTCAAAAAATATTAACGTAGAAATTTAATATTTACGACAAGAACGTTGACTGAGCAGCTTATAGTTATATAAATATCAAAATTTTTTATATAACATTAGTCCAATTATTACCACTTTGTGAAAATAATTATGTGATCTCTTGTGTCAATAAACATTTGTTATTTGATTGCTTAATTATTCAGTAAATATTCTCTATGGCTATTATTTCATCTGCGATTAGTTATAATTAGTGTTACTACGATAGCGTTACTACGATAAATATCTGTACGTAATAAGATACGAAAAGAATACGTCTTTTAAAACAGCTTGCATTTATTTTTTAAGCGGTTATCTTTTTGAAAGAGAAATAATTCGATTCAAAGGAAACGACGATAAAGCGAAGACGATGATTACTGCTATTTGAAATCGATGTCATAGAATATCAACTGCATAAGCTTGGTATAGTTGATTGACCAGTCAATGTTAAAATGAAGCGGATAGTCCGATTAGGACAAAACTATTTAAGTACTTGCACGTGTATCGTTACATTTTGCGACTGAGTTTTAATCGAATGATCAACCATGCCAATCACACGGCCAAACGTAATTAATTGTTGTCCATTGTGTTTGAAAACAAATGGACTTATAATTCGAGCATATAGAACCATAATACTTAAAATTGGTGTAAATGATTGATCGTGTTTGAACGTAAGACTCCAATTCATTACACAAGCGCGAACGTTAATTTTTAACGATTATAACAACTGTACTGTCTGGGCGGAGTACGTTTTAATGCGACCCATCTCTTGAATTAGCCTCACTCAGATTCCGTTATTAATTACACAGACCTGCATGATTTTGTTTTTCATCAATGTAAATCGAATCCGAGGTCAAAACTTGTCCATCATTTCAGGTTTTCTAGATATCCTAATCTAAAGAGGTGGAAAAGGTGGTTTTTTGGTATATTTGATTTTTTTTCTATAAACGAAAAGAAATACCTGAAATCCATTAGATTTAGATTTTGGACATCTTTCTTTTTATCGAGATATCATTGATTAAACTCAAGTATTTTATGCAGTTTCGAAACAACTAATTTCCTATATACGCATATATAGTATATGCGAAAATACTTGATTTCACTCAATAATATCCGATGAAGAAAAAGATATGTTAAATCTGAAAAATGAATTTTGAGAGATAAGAGTTCACCTTTCGGGTGATTTCATCCGTTTATAGAAAAAAATTTTATCCACGATGTTACAGAACCTCAAATATACCAAAAACTGTCTTTTTCGCTTCTTTTTAGGTTAGAATATCTGAAAAATCTGACGTGATGGACACATTTTCGCTTTAGATTCGAATTCTATATAAAAAATTACTTTGGAAATGACTCTTAGTTGGCACAATCGCAATCCCTTATTCTACAGATTATCTGTATTAGGTATTGGCAAAGACAAATTGAATATTATCAGGCTTAACTGAATTCAAATAGTTAGCGAGTAGCAAGCAGGTCTAAGTATATCTAATTCCGATCACACTCGAATGCATCTCTATCTATCTATCTATCTATCTATCTATCTATCTATCTATCTATCTATCTATCTATCTATCTATCTATGTCTTACATGGAGATCACGAGCTAAGATTTAGATTTAGGTGGCAAGGGAGTGTGCGTCGCTTATCGAGACGCCGCCCGAGCGCATAAATAATTCAATAAAGCCAAGTGCTAGCCGAATAACGAAATTTGCCCAACTTGAGGAATTGATGCAAAACACCGGAGCGAAGTTTCGAATGTTCAACAGCATGAGCACCATGCAATAAGCATTTTGCCGAAGGCTATTTAACAATTCTATTATCCCTGTTAAACTCTCTCGTCTTCGGAAATTGACGGTTTTCCTTTCCAACCCTCAAAATTTTCAGTTCCTTTCTCCGCGATTCTGTCATAGGAACTTTTTATAAAGTAATCAATCTGCGCCGGTTTTATAAATAATACAGATTACGCACCTATTATACAAATCGAGTGTGCTATTTTAATAAACTGCGTTTTAGCTTTTATCAATAATTAAATATTAAAAAGTGTATACCTTAGACGACAAAAATCTTAAAGATGTTTTTTTCTGTCGAAAGCTTCTAGATACATTAAAAAATCTAGTTTATTTTTACGGCTGAGCTATTGGGCTAATTTATTAATGTAAACTCTCAAATTGTTTATTTATAAAGAAATGCATGTTCATATCTTTACTGTATTAAGATATATGAAATAGTTGATGCTATAGCATAATGCTATAACATTATTATTTCATGAATTCCCTCTTGAGAATGGATCAAGCGGAATAAATTTGAATCTTCGCGTCTTTCCTACAGAAAATTAACATAATTTATGCATTTGAGATGCAATGAAGACGTATCTTGCAACTTATGGAATTGTTTATTCAATAACTCAATCTTTGAAGAAAATAGGTCCATTGAAGATTTATTATTTTTTAAATTGGAAATTAAAACACATCTCTTGGTACAATGTTACATCTTTTTCTAAGCTTATGCCATTATAAAATGTACATCCGTTCAAATCACTAGCGCAATTTTCACAGAGAGCTAAGTTTTGATTACGTGCGTTTGCTGTTATCCGCGAAATTATGTGTCCGGCAAGATTCCGATGAACATATTTGCCAAGTAAATAGCGAGATTAATGTATCCTTTCCTTGCCACGCTACGTTAGAACGTAGTACCCATGAACTCGCATAAATGTAAAACAACATAAAAAAAAGCCTCGCAGAAAAAGGGAAAATTTATGGAGAAACGAATTGATGCTGCGCGCAATTAACTGCTGACAACGTTCATACTGAATATGAGAGCATAAAGCAATCAAATAACTCATGTTGATTGATGTGCACCGAATACTTGTCAAGAAAAGAATGAAAAATATGCTGGAGCTGTACGATGATGGGCGGTGAGCAAAAAAATCGATAAAATTGCTTGTCACAAATAGGCACACATCACAGAGCATTTGCAGCGTACGATAATGACTAATGTAAGTGAATATATGAAAGCGCTGGATGTAATCAGTATATCAGCATGGAGCGTTAGTCAAATAAGGATGAGAGGTAACGAGGGGCGAAGATAGCTGTCGTACCTAGATCCTCCGTGGCCGTTGGAGCGACGCCCGCTGCTCTCCTCGTCGTCGTCCTCCTCCTCGTCGCGCGACGTGGCCAGCGAGTGGGGTACCGATGACGGAGCACTGCTGCCCGAGTCGGGCCCAGGGCCCATTCTCGAGCCTGAGGCAGCGCTGCTGTGGTACGCCGACGACGAACACGGACCCAGTGCTCCTCCCTGGCCCTCCTCGTTCTCCGCTCGATCCACCTGTTCAACACACGAACACTATTATTATCTCACCGACTCGTACCTTGTCTCGACTATGGGTTTACTATTTTCAATCCGTTCAACCGTGTACTTGTCTTTTTCTTATTTCATTGATCTTGCATTGTACAATCGATAAACTTTGGAATAGGGGTATATAATACCAAAGGGCTTATTTATACTGCTGGGGATTGAGCATTACCTCAGATTGAGTATCGTTGCTCCATGTAACCGTACGTCTAAAAAACATTATGTTCATTTTACTCAGAGTCTTTAGCCATCTACGTTCACTCAAATTCACACAATACAATCTATGATTGAGGTATCTATGCAAGCCCTATGAAAATAACACTGTGCGGAATTGTAAAATTGCGTTAAGATATTATTTGAATGGGTTTGCGATGAATGATGTGGTTTCTATGGATTAGATACGTATCTATAAATGAATTACTGATCGCTCCATGATATTGGAATATTGGATATATCGTAGTTTACAATTGTGGCGCGACGGTAAACAGTGGAAAGCGTAACTTTGTAACTGTGTAAAGTACTCAACAGCGTGTTTTCATCTTGTACGATTCAAAAGCTTGCAATTGTCGAATTATTTCAATTTGAATGTTGAAGTTATTGTCTTTTTCGATTCCGAACACTTACTAGCTAAGAAATTGCCACGACAAATGACTGCGAACAGTTAGCAATCAATTTATTTTCTGTGCGTTACTTGTTAATTGCAAAGCGCACAATTCCACTTTTTTCTTCCAACAAATCGAATATATCTCTATTACCAGTGAAAAGTGTCTTTCTGTTGTTTAATAGACAATTTCTTACATAATACATAATATAAAAATGTAATCAACATATTGCGATATATCTTGAAACATATCAAAAGCCGTCAAATTATTTACAATATAAAATTGTGCGTGTTAAAACAGTTGTGCTAATTTACTATTCTATGCCTTATAATTCTATGCCTTTAGAAAAAGTAGTAGTGTTCATTGCAATTTGATTTTCAGGGCTAATACTGAGCTTGAAAAAATAAAATCTAATTACAAGTATGTGGAAAAACAGGCATATTTACCAATTTTTACCCTATATGAGATTATGACACTAACCTTTCAGAAAAGATAAAGAGTATATATAGGCTGCTTTCAATTAAATTATCATGCGGCAAGAAATTATTGCATAGATATTGTCATTTCGACTGTGACTATGAACCACCAATATTAATCTTCATAAAACAACGTGTCAAGTTCGACTCTTTAAATAGCAAAACGGTCGGTGTAGTCACAGTCGACATTAAAATTTCTGTACACCAATAGCTTGCAGCAAAAAACTGATTTCGAAAGGTCTTGCCAGCTGGGGCTTACTCTCACACGTTAATTTTTCATTTGTTGATAGACTAGCCGGGAGGGAGAATTCAACTCATTTCGTACACAGAAATGTTCAAAATTTTTCGCCCCAACAAGCCTCCTAGTAATTAGTAACAATCAATAGACGTACATGTACGAAAAGAACAGCTGTTCAGTTTCCTTTTATAATTAAGCACGTACTTGTAAATTATTTGACATAATCGACAATTATGCAGTCAGTCGCGTCACAAATTGCACCGCCATATGATTGATAGATTGGCTTATTATAAGTAGAATATGCACGATAATCAGCGTATATTACAAATGCTTGGGATAAAAATCGCACTGACGAATAATACAGATCATGTCAAAAAATTTTCTAACTTGAATAACTTTTGTAAAACTTCCATCAATCGAACTGAAGCTTTTATCTGGTGATATATTGTGAAATCAACTTTTTATTCAGCTAATAGAGATATCATGAAGATATTTCTATTAGCTGAATAAAAAGTTGATTTTTATTTATTTTTTTTATTTAGCTGATAGAGATATCATAATATGTGGAAGTATGGGAAAAACGAGTGACTTTCAGATGAGATTGTCATCTTTCTGAGTAAAAGTCCAGTCCTGTCGCCGCTCTGTAGTTATTTCGCGCTCATTCGCATACAACACGCTACCGCGACTTTTGATTATAAAAACTAAACTATCAATTTTTGAATACGGTTTATATGAAATGAATGCAATGCTTAATATAGTTTGAGATTTTTCAGTCTTGAGACTATCATTACTAGTTACGTATACAATAAACTGCAGTCACTGTATTGATTTTAATCGAATTTGACGTCAAATCGTTTGAATTTGCGTTGAAGTACTGAAAGATAACGTTTTTTCTTCGTTGGTTGAAGCTAAAAACAACATGACGCGCGTGATAAGTTCAGCTCAAGTATTTCAAGAATTTAATTTTCCCTACTCAGAGGCGATGTTCTTGTCTCTAAATAATATTTCCTAATTTTCGTTCTGACATATTCAAGATACAAAGTTTCTCTGTTAGGCTTATATTCAATGAAAACTGCTTTTATTTGACTTATTTTTTTAAAGTGCTAATCAAACAATCAAAGAATGCAGAATGTTAAATACTCTTTTTAAATGTTTAAATGTGTTAGGTAACTTTAAAAGCTTACCCAATTCGTTACGTACTTCAATTCGCTAGAAGGATGCTCGAACCGATTAACGTAAAGGTTTCATTGAATTCTTTTCCGGTTTATAACGCTTCATTTGGTTGAGATTGCCACCTACCTCTTGAAATATTTTTTTTTCCGTAAAAAGTCGACTAAAGCCTCGATAGCGCCTGGCAAAGCTTTTCAGCAGTACTTAAACCCAACCACACGGCTCATTACTTGTGAAAGAACTATCGCACCTATATTTACTTGTTCCTTCTCACAGACTGTATGCATTTTTCAATTACAAATAAATCTTTTATATCCTCACTCGCTTTTAAAAGGTTCTCTTTGTATCATTTACTGTAATCTCTGCTCTTTTCAGAGCTCCAACGAACATTTTCTCTCGTTTTCTAACTTTCAGCTTTTGCGTTTGTTATATATTACGCTCTCGATGAGAATTCCATAACCTTTTTCGAATTTTAAACTTTTCGTTCTAATTTGCTATGCCACAGCGACCATGGAATGTCAGGAATTCCTGATGTCATGTCTTGTAACTGGATCAGATTTATTCGCATTGCAGTGGAGCCATTATCTCCAGCATTCTCTAACGTATGTCATTTCCACGGTCATTCAATATCTTTTCCTGCACGACTGCTTATAGCTACTTCGTCGTATTATTTGCTAACTAAAACGCGCGTATCTTTTATATTGTTCTCATGGCACTCGAACTTTGCACTGCTGTTACAGTACAGATTCTCGACGGTTACATACAACGTCCATTGTTGTCTGAAACTTTTAACTATTGATCACCGATAATAACGAGTTTTCATTAAATCTGCATTTGAATTTTGCAGCATATTGCAAATTTATTGTTGTTATTATGCGAAAAGATAAAGAAATACAAGGCTTTTGCGGTCACATATAGAATAATAACCATCCATGTAATCTGTATTTTGCTTAAGTTTTAGGAATATTTGGTCAAATATGTTAGTCTACCCGAAGAGTTCGTCATTTGTTCTATGTATTTCAAACATCATTTTTACTAAAAAACCTCACTATTTATTACTCTTTATGATGAATTAAAGACTCTACAAGATAAACAATTGAAATATTTTAGTGTCTGTAAAATCTTTATAAGAATCGAATTTTATTCAAGGAATAAGACTTGTGCTTGGCTATCAACATTTAATTGTAGAAACAAAGCACTCCGAGAATCTACACAAATTTATCCTGCATTCATATGATCTACAGCCTCTATGAACGTCGGAGTGTCGTACTAAACTTGAATTTTTCTACTTGGTGCGTTCGTCGACGTTAACAGCGCGCAATCTAGTCGAAAGTAAGAAAGTTATGCTCCTAGCGATTTGCAAGTTAAGTAAACTTTTTAAATGGGATTTTGCTTGCAGAAGGCCAATATAATTGATAAAGTACCAAGTAGGTATTTCCTACTTCGTAAGTATGTAAACAAAATTAAAACTATTTTCACTCGGTGCAGGCGTTGTTGTTTTCCAAGTTCGAGTGTTTACCGAAGCTTTAGCTTCAGTTCAATAGATATTGAATATATTCTTTGAGCTATTTGCGATACCCTATAGATGCCTAAAAATTTATACGTGTTTGGTTCTCAGATATAAATCGTTGAAAATTGCAGATATCTAATGCACTTGTTGTTAAAGGGGATACTCAACAATAAATGTAGCAGCAAGTGTTGTTTTAAATTAACATGAGGTGTTAAGATTTCGCGATACAGGATTTCACCCAAATTATAAGCGCAAGGAAGAAGACCGGTCCAAATTGACTAGATTTTATTTGAATATATATTGAGTTTTTTTAAAAAACGGAATTAAAAGCAGAAAGTGAACACTTAACAAGGGCGTAAAAAACCCTAGTCGCAAGTACGGAAATAACCCGAATCAAGCGGTAAGAAATAAACACAGTGATCGTACTGTATACAAATTAGACTAACGGTAGTGGTGGCACTATAACAAAGGTGACGGGCGCGACGTAGTGCGCACTTACAAATTCTCGCAAGTAGAGAGCTCTCTTGGCGATGGGGCACGGCAGTTCCGCTGCAGGGTGGAAGAGTGCAGCAATACTGACTTCACCTAAGGTGACCTCGACGTCTCGAGAATGGGGACAGCCCTAACCACCTCGTGAAAGATGGGCATAGCGACCGCAAAGATGTTGCACTCTCGGGAACGGGCTGGGGCAAGACCCACCACTGCCGCGTAGGCCTGAGCATACAACTGCGGACGCGTAAATGTACCGCTTGCATCGTCATCCGCGAGTTATAGCAATTGGTATCGCACTTAAATACCAGTACGCAACGTAGGCAGAACCACTCAGAATTTCATGGCGCAGACCAGAGCGGAAAAGAAAGCGAGTTTCTCCCTGAATGTCGGTCAATAAACTGCCCAAACTAGTCAGGGATCGCGACGAATTCTCTCTAAAAGTAGGTCGATGGGCCCGCGTTCGACAATGTCGGCAACGTCATGCCATGCGCCCCTTTTCTCCTACACGTGTGGACGCGTCGTATGGCAGCGACGCATCACGTGTCGAAACCTTTCTTCGCCTTGCCTTCCCTGGTCGTAAACCGAACCATTAGAGAGTGTGCTCGAATCGGTGTGCCGTTCCTTCTCGAGATGATCGAGATAAAGAAAGTGAGTGCATTCCCTCAACATGTTGATTCTTTCTTTTGAAATAAAAATTGTTCATTTGACAAAGTGTAAAGCA